GGCGTCTGCGGCGCGTGCACTCCGCCCCGTCCTTCCGGACTCCAGTTCCCTGCCCGTAGGGAGCCTGGGCGGTCGCCCCCTCCCCATCCGAGGCCTCTGGTGACCTTATTGTTTTCCACCGCGACCAGAAATAGATTATCTCCTTTTCCTACGGGCCGCGTACTGACAGTCACAGGAGGAGTTCATAGGAACATTATTAACATTTACCCAGGGCCCGTTACGATGCACGCGGCGCCCAGTGCTTCGCGAGCTTCACCTCGCTTCACCTCGCAGTAACCAGCAAACCGGATATTGTTATCCTCCGCTTTATGGATGAGGAGGAGCTTCCTTATGTTTAATTGCCGGAGGGGAGGCGGCCAGTGGGTAGCTGAGCTGTAGGCTGCACTGTGTGCGACCCCATAGCCAGAGCTCCTAACCCTGCGGGATACTGCCCGGCTGCCCCCTCCTCCTGTCATCCGCCTCGCCCACCTCCTCCTCCTCCCTTCGTCCTCCTTTTATCCTTGTCATTCCCTCCTTCTCTCCCTCTTCTCTCCTTCCTCCCACCTCCTCTCCCTCCTCCCACTCTCCCCAACTCCCTCCAGCTCATCCTTCTCCCCTTTCTCTTCCTGTCACCACTCCTCACTCTCTCTGCCTTATGCACAATAGAAATATATTTACCTTTTTTAGTGCTTTCTTTTTTGTTTACAAAACACTTTAACTCACAGTCTTAACTGATTGTCACAGAAGCCTGAGGAGGCAATGGGACATTGTTGTACGGATTTTGCAAATGGAAAAAGCCAGTGTCTAAGTCTCAGCTGTTCAGTGAGTTATCCAAAGTTACGGTGGTGGGACCAGTGCTTACACTGGCAGGTATGATTATTGTTGTTATTACTATTTTTATAAAAGCACCAGAGCCAACTCGAAAGGGAACTGGTGTCTTTTCTCTTCGCTCCAGGAAAGGAATCAGGGACACAGAGCAGGAAATAACTTGTCTCAGCTGCCATCTTTAAGGACAGTTAGAAGAAAATCATTCTTCTGATCACTAATTCATGGTGATGGAGGCCACTGTTATCCTAAATAAACGTTACCTACAGGACACTGCTAGATAGGTCGTCACAAAACCGAATGAGCCTCCCTGACATCTGGAGATTGTTTATTCACTTCCAAGGCCTACTGTCATAGATAAGTTGGGGAACTGGGCTCCATGGCACTGATCAAGGACGCAGGGTCTGTGCACCCAGTGAAGTGTTAACTGGCTGTAAATTTAGTCTAAGTTGAAATACTTTGAAGTCATAGCTACCTTGAAAGCAAGAAATATTTTGACTTTGTGACCTATAAGGGGGGAATCTATTTAATGTGTACTATACTGGTTAGTAACATTGCTGATGTGTGCTTTTACTGTGAAGGTATAAAAATAACTAAAAGACACAGGAGGGCAGAACAGCTCTTTGAGGAGATACCCTCGCTGTTCTTTGCTGGCTTTTCTGTAAATCAAAGTAGAACTATTGATATCTCATCCCTATCTCCATTGATTGGCTTGGGTGACAGGTGGACAGAGTCCTTGGTTCAGCAACAATGGCCCACTCTAAGGTGAAGTGAAGGTTAAAATTGGACGCACTCAGCTTCTACTCATGGGGTAGGAAAAGGGCCCTTCACTGTTAGATTTAAACCAAGGAAACGGGTAGCTCACTGGTTAGGGAGCCAGCCACATGCACCAGGGCTGATGGGTTCAAACCCAGCCCAGGCCTGCTAAACAACAACAACAAAAAAAAGCTGGGTGTTGTGGCAGGCACCTGTAGTCCCAGCTACTAGGGAGGCTGAGGCAAGAGAATCACTCAAGCCCAAGAGTTCAAGGTTGCTGTGAGCTATGATGCCACAGCACTCTACCAAGGGCAACATAGACTCTGTCTCAGAGAAAAAAAAAGCAAGGAAACAGGGTTGGATTGTGACTGTAATGGCTCCTTAGGTGTTGCCCCCACCCCATCATTATAGAGGTATATCCAATAAGTCACCTCTCTTGTCTCTTGATCTTTACTTTGGCTTAACAAATTCTTCATTTCATTAATTTAACAGTTATTGCAAGCTGATAGAGGCAAATAAAACTGCCCTGCCCAAATAGAACTGACCCACCCAGGAAGAAACAAGTGCATGAATGTCCCATCCAGGAAAGAGTACATGTGCCAATCCCTACCCCTCCAACCCTTTAAATTCCCATCCACCTTAACCCACGTGTTGACTTCCTTCTCAAACTCAGCTCATCCTCACCCAGATGGAAATAAAGGCCTCGTTGCCTACATAGAACCTGGAGTCTGATTTCCTTTCATTCATGTTTTGGAATAATCTTTTATTTTTGGTCTTTGACCTCTCACAAGCCACTTCCTTTGTCAAGGTCACCTTAAGAACTGCTGTAACTTTTTTCTTCTCGAACTTCTAACATAGCAACTTCTGTGAAAATTGAGTTTTTATGCCAAGAGAGTTTGGAAACTGCTGCTTCTGTACCCTTGCTTGGATATCCATGAAGGCGTTAACACAAAAAATGGCTCCAAGAGTTCCTAGATCAGAAGACCAGGTAAGCCTTGTTTAACTCAGTTTCCCTGAGGTGCTGGGCTGGGTGCTGGGTGTTGGGCTTGCAAATACCGGTATGAATCTGCCACCTAAGGAGCTCCCAGTGATTGTGATACAACTGTATATGTTCATTACTAGAGATATTTACACAAAGTACTAGCAAAGCAGAGGAAGCAAGCAATCCTACCTATATAGGTCAGGGAGATCTTTGCAGTTAGGAGAGTATTTAAGTAGGAGTTCTAGGTGGAGAAAATGAAACAGAGCATTCCATAGAAATAACAGCATATTTGGAAGCATATAGGTGTGCCTTTGGGTTGGTCTCTGTGGTAAGCATGGTTAAGTTTTATTCAACATTCTCTTTGTTGCATGTAATACATCACTCAAATTGGGTTAAGCGACAGATGGAATTTATTGACTCACATACCAGAAAAGTTCAGGGCTTCAGGCATTGCTGGATCCAGGGACTTAAACTGTAACATCAGGATTTAGGCCTTTATCTCCATTTCTTGACTCTGCTTCCCTTTGTGTTGCCTTTTACCTTTTCTGAGACTGCATTTCCCGGTGACATGGCAGAATGGCTGCTTCCAACTTCAGATCACACCCTTACCAGCAGAGAGTGTCTTTCCCTGGATGCTATCAACAAAAGTCCCAGGACTGCATCTCCTTGGTCAAACTTGGGTTATTTGTGCATCGCTAAACTGCTCTCTTGAGAAGGAAAGTGGAATATTCTGACAGCCTAAGCCTGGGTCATGTGCTCAGCTTTGGAGCTGGGGTGAGGTCAGCTTCTCTCACATCTTATGAGCTAGGATTGGGGAGAGGTGGCTTTCTGTGCTAAGTATTTTATGTTGGGTTCTCCAGATCTACTCGCTACCCTTTTTTTTTGAGACAGAGCCTCAAGCTGTCCCTCTGGATAGAGTGCTGTGGCATCACAGCTCACAGCAACCTCCAACTCCTAGGCTCAAGCAAGTCTCCTGCCTCCACCTTCCAAGTAGCAGGGACCATAGGCACCTGCCACAATGCCTGGCTATTTTTTTTTGGTTGTAGCCATCATTGTTGTTTGGCGGGCCCAGGCTGGATTCAAACCCCGCCACCTTAGGTGTATGTGGCTGGCACCTTAGCCACTTGAGCCACAGGCGCCGAGCCTCTACTTGCTACCCTTTTCCTTCCTGATTTGTGCCTCAAGAGGCCAACCTGCATGGACTGCTTCAAAAGTTTCCTTGTCCTCTGGCTTACAGTTGAGTCCACCCAATAGATGGTGTTAGAAATGATATCAGAGAGTTGGAAGATGAAGTAAGGGTATTACTCCACTTCCCTTCTGGGTTGCTGAAGGTTGGTTCCCTACCTTTACTGAAGCATCTGTCAAGAGATCTTCTTCATACAGATTCTCTCTCCTAGTTCTGGTAAATGCTCCCTTCTCCTGCTCAGGAGGTGGCAATGGCTCTCCCCTGCTGCCAGCCTGGGGGGATCATGACATCATTTCCCCTTCTTTCCTTCCACCCTGCCCACCCGTTTATATATAACATTTGCTAAACTCTCCTTAATCGTCTGCTGGGACGCTTATGGTTATATTCACCAAAGGAAATTCCAATTTCTATTATGAAAATAAAGGGAAATGAATAAAAAGCAGTAACATAGTGATACTGGTTTGGAAAAGGTACTACAATAGTGCCGATCAGAGAAGACAGTGGCTTAGACAGGGTCGTGAAGGTGGAAGTGGTGGGAAATTAGGATTCTGACGTAACTTGAAGGCAAAGTTAACAAGCTTTACCGATGTATTAAATGTAAAATATGAGCAGTAGAGAAGAGCTGAGACCGAAGCAATTGGAAAACCCGCATCTGGAGCCTAGGAGTGAGCTCAGAGCAGGCATGAGGGAAGGGTGGTGGGTAGTTGAAATCATGGGTCCAGATGAGACAACCCAGGGAGGCATGTAGAACAGAACACAAAAAGGGCAAAGAGCGGAGCCCAGGACAACACCGATCTTTCCATGGTGAACAGAGGAAGAGTTGTCATGTTGTATCTATCTACTGTCCAGATTGGGAGCAACGGGAGAACTCGAGCACAAGAGCGGAATCTTCCACATCCTGCCACTTCACTGTTGTGTCTAGCGAGGCGATGTACACGCAGTGTGTAATAAATACTTGCTATGAATGAACCTGATGCAGCCTCACCCTTCTAA